TCAATCAAATTCTGGAGCAGTATCTGCACATGTATTGCAACTACCGACAAACTGATTGGGCCACACTACTGCCCACAGCGGAATTTGCATACAACAACCAAGCTTCAGAATCAACAGGCCTGTTCCCATTTTTCATTGAGCATGGTCGACACCCCTGCATGGCACCAGACGTACTGGAAGGGATACAACATCCATCCCTGGAACACTGATTCCATAACTGCGATCAAGCACAAGAACAAGCCCGTGCTGCTCTGTCGTTAGCAGCGAAAAGAATGAAGTGGTATTTCGATCTCAAAAAGCAGAATGTCCCTTTCAAAGTAGGAGACGAAGTGCTCATTCGAGAAAAAGATCTTCATGTAAAGGTCAAAAGCCAGAAGCTTGCGACTCAGAACTATGAACCTTTGAAGATCCTCGAAAAAATCGGAACCGTATCTTTCAAACTGCAACTACCAGCGGACATGAAGCTGCATCTGGTGTTTCATGCTTCCAAGCTTATAATGTTCCATCAAGACTCTATCCCAGGACACGTACCTCCCCCTAACCCTCCAGTTATCATAGATGGAGAAGAGGAATGGGACGTGGAGGACATCCTGGACTCTAGAGTCAGGTACAATAAGACCCAGTATCTCGTTAAGTGGTTAGACTATGACCACAGCGACAATACGTGGGAACCCCTGGAAAACCTTACAAATGTCAAAGACAAAGTAGAGGAATTCCATAAGACACACCCAGATGCTCCAAGAGCCAAGCCGCAAACACGCAAAGGACACAAAATTGCTCTAACCGACCACCCTGATGAATTCATGATCTTTTTCCGCACTCATCTGAATGCCCAAGCACCCTACAAGGGATTTGCAGAAGTGGTGGGATGGGATGTCAAGTCCATACAAGACATAGACATTCCCCCACACTCCAGAATGCTTATTGGCACAGGACTTGCGTTAGACCCCTCCAAAGTGGACATACATTCGAGTGGCCCCCCGAAGTGGGCTAGCCCTCAAAGGAATTGATGTTGCAGCAGGGGTAATTGACCCAGACTACACAGGGGAAATCAAGATGCTTCTCGTTAACATGACCAGCAAACCGTTCGAGGTCAGGACAGGCGATCGTGTCGCACAACTCATATGTGAATGCTACACTCCAGGAATCATTTCTGAAGCAGACAATTTACTCACCAAGCACACCATAGGAGGCGCCAAAGGCTTTGGCTCATTGGAACGATGAACCTTGAGAAGGGGGTGATATCACAGTTTTTACCTGACAAGTCATTATAGGAACAAATGCTACTAGAAGCATATCATTTTTCATCATTTCTTGTCGCACAAGAATCACGTGACCTAATGGGAGATAAGATAACACGGCATCTAGTCACATGACCTCGGATCTCTCTCGGCATTGTTACGTGACACCGATCTCCTCAGCATTGCATCATATGTCGCAATTGCCATGACGCCATATTGCATGCTTAAGAGGAGCTCCGTTGTCACAAAGCACAAAGCACTTAACCCAATTAAGGGCAAGTCTGCTTGTGTGACCTGCACAAATAAATTCACAACATAAAAGCCTGCCACAAGGGCTAGGCTGAGGATGGCGCACAGTGGCATACAACCAGCAATCAAGGCAAAGCTCCAATGCATGACCTTGCACAAAAGGTGAAAGGGGGGAGCTGGCCTGCTGGCCGCATACAATAGTTGAATGAATCTAAGGTCTTCCCTTAGATCCTCATGTGCTTATATACATGTAGTGGTGGACCCTGGGTACCCTAACTATGGTGTACTTTACTGGGGTCCTGTCCTGTCTACATGTGAACATATTGCCAAAACCAGTAATGGTTCTGGACTTTGCTATAGCAACTATCTATAAAGGTCGTGGATACGCCAAGGTAATCCTACTTTACCCAATAAGATAATTGCCTGAAGGTGGTGCCACTATTTGAGTAGCTGAAGTGGTGCCACTTATTGAGTGGCCAATGGGGGTTCTGCCATAGCGCATATTCTAATGCTGGTGCTACTATTTGGCAGCCGTGTAGTTGGTGCTGCTATTGAGCAGCGAATTGGGTGCTTGCTAGATTGATGGTCCAATGAGCACAGGTAAGTCTATTGTGGGCCAAAGAGTTCCATTCTGGGCAAGTGGCCTGGTGTCACATGACCAATGCCTGATAACTTCTGAATAGGGCAAGTGGCCAGTGTCATGTGACTGAGTGGCTGAATCATGGGCGCTTGGTGGTCATGTGGTAGACACAGTCATATCTGCGATGTATGTGGTGGTATTGTGCTGTTTGTCTAAGTATCCACTTTGTGAGACCAATATGAAGGTTGGCATCTGAATAACCACTTGTGGTTGCCAAATGATGACTTTATTGGTGCAAAAAGAAAGGTGCCACTTAATACTGTGACATCCGTCTCCGCAGGTTATTATTAGGCAACCAATCAGGATAATTGGAACAAGTCATACGATTGTAGCACCATCCAGTAGAATAGCATGTGACTCGCTTATGTAGTACTGTACAGTAGCTAGACAATCATGTATATAAGGACCAGCGAGATGAGGAGGAGACCTCAGTCTTATTCTCCTTCGTCCACCACTACCATCACAGAGGGGTCTTACCAGACACTCTCAGTGTGCTATACATCTTTTTGCATCCTCACTTGTGTGATAGCGCCTCTCGCCTTGCCAGTAAGTCTTACTCTGCGACTAGCGACTAGGCCTCATCAGTGGGCACGTCATACCGCCACAGCTCATCGCTGTAGGCTCTTAGCCAGGAGGCCCTCAAGGGGACTCTATTTTGGTTGTCTATCTTTGTCATCGGCGTGCTGTGACACCTTCCCTCCCGTCTACTCTTATGACTGATGCGTCGGACTTTGCCATTGCCGGTATTCACCCCCAGCCTGACGATAATGACCTTCTCCACCCAGTCGCATACTTCTCATGCAAGCTCTCACCAGCTGAAATCAATTATGAAATCTATGATAAGGATTTACTGGCTATCGTTGATTCCTTCTGCGACATGCACGCCTGGCTGATTGGCACATCCACACTGGTCTCAGTCATCTCTGACCACAAGAATCTCGAGTACTTCATGTCCTTCCGGGTTCTCAACCATCACCAAGCTCGGTGGTCTATGTTCCTATCCGAATTCAACTTCTGCCTTGACTATGCTCCTGGATCACATAACCCAGCTGATGCACCTTCCCGTCATCCTGACTTCGCACCTCAACCAGGGGATGACGTCCTTCTTCAACAACAAAAGACGCTTCTCACGAACACACACACCAAACGTATTTACCTCATCAACATGCTCAGTGCTCCCACCGCTACTTCTGCCTTCTCAGTTGCGTCTCTAACCACACTCACTCTCGACAACTTGGAGCTTCTGGAGAGATTCAAGGATGCAACCCAGCATGACACAGAATGGCATGAAGCCAAGGCCTCTGGAGATGAGAACTTTGCCATTCAAGACAACCTCGTCTTTCACAAGGGTTGCTTGTATGTTCCGCCATCTCTGTGATCTGAGGTTCTGAATTCTCGACATGATGCACTGACCGCTGGACAACCTGGACGAGCGTGAACTCTCAGCCTCATCGAACGTGACTACTCCTGGCCTGGCATGCGCACCTTCGTCCGTCAGTATGTCGCGGCATGCAACACTTGTGCTTGTTGGAAGGAGAGTGCGTGCAGCACTCAGGTACGCTCTTGTCATAAGCGGGGAGAAGTGGCCGGTTGGACGGTCAGAGCGACGTTGTCACAGTATTAAGTGGCACCTTTCTTTTTGCATCATTAAAGTCCTCATTTGAGTGGTTATTCGGACGCCAACCTTCATATTGATCTCGCAATGTGGATACTTGGACAAACAGCACAATGCCGCCACATACATCACGGACATGACTGTGTCTACCACATGACCACCAAGGGCCCATGATTCAGCCACCCAGTCACATGACACTGGCCACTTGCCCTATTCGGAAGTTGTCAGGCGTTGGTCACGTGACACCAGGCCACTTACCCAGAAAGGAACCCATTGGACCATCAAGCTAGCAAGCACCCAATTCACCACTCAAGATAGTGGCACCACTTTGCTGCCTAAACCAATAGGCAGATACCACAACAGAGGATCCCCCTACCAACCGGCATACAGTATAGCCAGGTACAGGATAGGCTAGATCTTCTCACAACCCTATCCAGATGAAGACTGATCGTCACACTCATTGTTCTGAGTTTGAACAGATCCTCTCATCTGATGTTGCAACCGTTGTGATGTGCTCTGTTGGCCATCACCCATTGGCCCCTCAACAGTGGGCCCACTTACAGGCATTTATCTCATTGAATTAGATAGGATTACCTTGGCGTATCCACGGCCTTTATAGATAGTTGCCATAGCAAAGTCCAGAACCATTACTGGTTTTGGCAATATGTTCACATGTAGAAAGGACAGGACCCCAGTAGGTACACCTTAGTTAGAGTGACCAGGGTCCACCTCTACATGTATATAAGCCCATGAGGATCTAAGGGAAGACCTTAGATTCATTATCCTATTGTATACGGCCTAAACAGCCAATTCACCCCTTTGTTGTGAGCATAAGGCTAAGGGCCCTTTGAGCCTCATTTCCAGACTGCATACCACTGCGCGCATCCTCAGCCTAGCCCTTGTGGCAGGCTTTTTATGTGGGATCATTTGTGCAGGTCACAAAAGCAGACTTGCCCTTAATTGGGTTAAGTGCTTTGGTGCTTTGTGACAGACGTGCCCTAGCAATGAGTGGTGTCATACGATAGAGTCCGACCATGGCATTAGTCAATAAATAACAGACCGAGAAGATGTACATACCTCAGTAGTTACTGCATCTAAACGACTCTAACGAGGTCCCTGTACAATGGACTCGTCTTTGCTGTGCTCTCGCTGTGCTTAGATTGGGAAACTCCGAGATAAACTACCCCCATACCTTATTCTTTGGCCTCTGCTGCATCTGCTCGCATTCTTCCTGTGCAACTGGCATCAACCTGACATGTCCAAGACAACTGAAACCACAAAGTTCCCTCTCTTGGGTGAGGACAACTATGGCGAGTGGGCGATCTGGATGGAAGCGGAGCTGATCAGGAAGGAGCTGTGGGAGGTGATGATGATTGAAACATCGCCACCGACAGATGCGACGGAGATGGAGGCAGCAGTGTGGCTGGAGGCAGAAAAGGCCAAGCGCTTGATGACCAAGATGGCGAAAGCATGGGTGGAAATGGTGCTGCGGGTATTGGCAGGGCAGCTGGTGCACCTGGTGAGTCATGACCCTATGGAGTGCTGGGTGACTCTGGTGCAGGTGCACTGAGCATATGGGTTTGCGACCTGACTGGTGATGCAGCGATGCTTCTACAAGGTGGTGAAGGGCCCTGACGAGGTGATGTCGGCGTGGATCGAGCGGGTGAAGAAAATGGCCACAGATCTGGAATCCACCGGGGTAAAAGTAGAAGAAGAGGACATGGTGTTGGGACTCACCATGGGCCTTGGAGAACACTATGACCAGCTCATAGTCACGCTCGACTCGATCCCACCCGAACAGCTTACTGTCGCAAATGTTACAGTGAGACTTCTGAATGAGAAGACCTGCCAGAAGAATATGGAGGATGACCGGGATGCGGTGGCCATGATGGCTAAGGCTGGGAAAGGGAAGTGGAAGGTGGCTGCAGGGGGGTGAGAAGCGTAAGTGCTTCAAGTGCAGAGGAATAGGGCACATACAGAAGGACTGCCCGACCAAGTCGGATGATGACAAGGACGACTTGGATGATGAGAAAGGGAAGCCGGATGACAAGGGTGCGAAGGCCAAGGTGGCATATACTGATGGCCACATTCGCCTATTCTGACAGCTTGACGATGGCGATCGAGGGGGCGTGTTGGAAGGAGAGTGCACGCAGCACTCAGGTATGCTCTTGTTGCAAGCGGGGAGAAGTGGCCGATCGGACAGTCAGAGCGACGTGCCCTAGCAATGAGTGGGTGTTGTACGATAGAGTCCGACTGTGGCATTAGTCAATAAATAATGGACCGAGAAGATGTACATACCTCAGTAGTTTACTACATCTAAACGACTCTAACAAGGTCCCTGGACAATGAACTCATCTTTGCTGTGCTCTCGCTGTGCTTAGACTGGGAAACTCTGAGAGTGCTCGCATAAAGACTTCATGACACAAGCTATATGGCCTGCTCCAGCCTCTCGACATCCCCGATAGGCCCTGGCACTCCATCTCTATGGATTTCATTGCGAAACTACCTCGGTCGCATGGTTATGACTCTATTTGGGTGGTCTGTGATCACCTCACTCGAGCTGCACACTTTGTTCCCTGCCTCGAAATGATCACAGCCCCGGATCTCGCATATCTCTTCCTTGATCGCATCTTCCACCATCACGGTCTTCCCAATTCAATTGTCTCAGATCGCAGATCCATCTTTGTCTTCAAATTCTGGTCCGAACTTGCACGTCTGCTCAAGATTGACCTTCGTACCTCTACAGCCTATCACCCGCAGTCTGACGGCCTTACTGAGCGCACTAATCAAATGCTAGAGACCTACCTCCGTGCATTCACATCTTACCAACAAGACGACTGGGTTGATTACCTTCCTCTCACAGAGTTTGCCTTCAACAATGCAGTGAATGCTTCCACCAAGCAAACACCTTACTTTGCGAACTTTGGTTTCCATCCTACATTTGAACCTCATCTCACTATGTGATCCACCGTTCCTGCTGCTGCTGACCTCACTGACCGATTATGACTCATTCACGATGAGCTGCGTGTGGAACTCACGCACGCCCAAGCCTCACAAGCATGTTTCTACAATCGCCACGTCTCTACTGCTCCTGCGTTCCAGCCCAGCGATCTCGTCTGGATCTTGTGCCGTAACATCAAAACCACATGCCCCTCTGACAAGCTCGATTATCGGAAGCTTGGCCCATATCCAATCGAATGCACCTGTGGCTCGTCCTCATTCAAACTTAAGCTGCCACTATCTATGTCGCATCTCCATCTGGTCTTCCACGTCTCCCTCCTCGAGCCATATCAACCTCCCGCCAACATCCTTCATCACTCGCCTGCACATCCTGCACATATCGAGCTCCAGTCCGATCTTTCACAGATCAAGACGTTCCTCGACTGTCGCAAGGTCGGGTGCCAGTATGACTATTTCATACATTGGAAGGACCAGCCAGTTTCCGAGCGATCTTGGGTCGCTCTCTCTGACATTCCTTCCTCACTCAATGAGCAGCTCAACCGGTTCCACCGCTGGCACCCAACGCTGCCTCGTCTGCATCGTGTTGTTTTCAACTGATGCCTCTCCCAATTTTTGGAATCCTCTGCATCTTCGGATGTAGGCCCTACTAATAATAACTCCTCCACTCAGGTTACCTCTGTCGACCCTGTATCTCTTGCGCAAATGTCTCGCTCCACCTCGCTGCCTATCGTGTGTCAAAACCTTCGCATGGCTTATGAACCACCATCACAAACGACTACTCACTCCAGTCATATCGCCCGCCCTCCCGTACGCTATAATCCTTAATTGTGTCACAGCGCTCTGCCTAGGACGGGGGGTGATGTCATGATCTCTCTCACACTACAGACACACTGCGGACTTCTGATGCTCTTCTGTCGCTGTATGTTCCATTCCTCATTAGTTTCATCCACTCCGCAGCGCGCTCTCAACTACTCGAGGTTGAATAGCCTCGAGGCAGATATTCTTCTTTTGGACACAGACGTTGTAGACAACGTTCTAGCCGTGCTTGGTTTTCTTCAGATGACTCTTGCATCTGCTTCCACTTACGAGATCATTCTTATATTCTTCCTTAGTAATGCTTTCATCCTACATGTATATAAGCTGTGACGATTCTCTGGAAATCGTCGCAGGAACAACGCCAGTAGTCTCTCGATGTACCTTCCTATCTATCCTCTTTGCTCCTCATTGCCTTCGCTCCTCACGTTGCCCTTATCTCCTAAGTCGAGCCATTACAATTGGCTAATGTCTCATCATACCATCTCTATGGATTATATAATTGGACAATGCTATACCAGATGTTCCGGTAACTCTCTTCTTCATTCTGTGATCTATAAGATTATTTGGAATATGTTATCCCTTCAACAGAAACGACATGCCAACCTCAGGCTTCCACTTACCCGAGTATCCCCGCTTAACAGGTGTTCATTCATGAGAGCTTATATCAATACACGATATGCATACTAGCTACGAGCTACAATTACATTAAATGTTCATCGCCATCGCAGGGCATATGACGCACGGCACTGGACATACCAGGAGATGACAGCACAGGAGAGGCCCTAGAGAGGGTGCAGATGGTGCCAAAGATATTTCATCTCATGATCGACATCAGAGAAAGGGACCTGAATGCTGACTAGGACTGCACAAGGATATAGAATAGTTGCATAGGATGCAATGAGTAAGCCGAGGTGAAGAGGATGCAGGGTGGGAGGTGACTGGAATGCGAGTCATTCAATCATGCTGCACTCAGCTGATCATGTTGATGTCGATGCTGTCCTGAACCATCTCCCACAGCAGGCTATCAAGACAGCAGAAGTCAGCTGCAAGTTACCAAATCATAGATTGTAACATGAGCACACAGCTCATGTCCCGCAACCGCTACACAATGGCAATGATCTTCTCAACCACGTATTCGACCTGAGCCTCAGTCATGAACCAGCCCCATATCTGCCATAGCCTGAAAACAGAGAAGGATCGTCAAGGCGATGTGCCATGATCGGGTTGCGAGGTTCATACGAGCTCCAGACAGCACTTGCAGCCATGATGGTGATCCAGATCCTCTCTGTTGAGAAAGCTGAACCTCACGACCAAGGCTCAGGGACAAGCCAAGGTACCGAGGCCCTCACAAATGAGAGTCCAGACCAATGTGGCTGAGGGATTAGATAATATTTCTAAATGTGTACATGTATATATAAAGGAATGTCATATCGGGAAGATCTGCATCATCTCGCATCCTCTTTCATCCTGGACGCTCACCCGCATTCCATGTTCCTAATCTGAGGCTTAATAGATTATGAGCCCTGGGCTTTCAGATTAACCTCGAACCTTATCAATCGACTGCTCTGACATTACTTGGCAACATGGCTGAAGAGAAAGAGAGATCATCATACCCACACATCGAGCCCCTAAAAGAAGACACTTGGATGCCCTGGAAGACCAAGATGGAGGCCATCCTCGATGATAAAGGGCTCTTGCCCTGGATTAAGGGCAAGAAAAAGAAGTCCAAATTCCAAATCGTCGGAGACCCCGAAGAGATCCAAGCACGCGAAGATGAGATCGAAGAATGAGAAAAGAAAGACCATTCCGTGTGCACCATTATCACGATCAATCTCAGCAACGACCAGATTGTGAATGTGACAGGTGTGACATCTGCTCGAGACATGTGGAAGAAACTTTGCATGGTTAAGGAGTAACACAGACAAAGCGGTATCGATTCTCTCATTCAATGTCTCTACTGTACATATGCGAGCGAAGGAGATGACATCGGGAAGCATATTAAGGAGTTATGCAAGATCTGAGAAGAACTACATGTCATGGGAAACGAGATTGACGACAAGCAATTTCGTAACGTCATCGTCACCTCATTGCCCGATAGCGGGAAAACGTTCACGGACACCTATTTCGGATTCTGAGGTGAGCTCATCGATAGTGACAATGAGGAAATGGAGGAACAGAGGTGAGAGAGAGAGAGGAAGAGGAACATAACCGTGCAACAACTCATCGGGATAGTTCTCGATGAGTGGCGCTGCTGCAAAGATCGTGATCTGAGCTCGGGAACGGATCAAGCAATGATAGCCGCTCACGAGAAGAGGAAGTGTCCTTCAGAGCACCTGAAGAATCCCAGAGCTAAAGCTGAGTCCTCAGACAATGTGATCGTCTGTTCTAACTGCGGCAAGCCACGTCACACCAAAGCTGAATGCTTTGCTAAGGGAGGCAGAAAGGAAGGCCAGTGGCCGCAGTGGTGGAAGAGACCTGACGAAAAGAGGCAAAAGAGAGTGGATCGCACCAACAAGGGTGAAGGATCCTCGAAGGGCAAAGAATGTGCATTTGTAGTGCATGATTCTAACGAAGATCAGAACACTGTATCCCTAGATAATTCTGACAAAGATATTTCTTCCTTTTATTCGTGGATTGCTGATACAGCGATGACCTCGCATGTCACAAACCAATGCAAGATCTTCACATCGTATCAAGCGCTTGAGAATCATACCATCTCCGGATTAAATTCGGGGAGCTTAGTGGCAGTTGACCGCGGCTCTGTAGATCTCGAAAGCACATTTGGAGATCGGAAAGTGTGATTCTGACTCGATAATGTGCTATATGCGTCGCAGGCATGCCACAACTTAATTTTGCTTGGGTGGCTGGATGCTGCAGGTGGTCGCATTGTTGCAGAAAATAAAAGAGCTATTCTCATTGATAAAAATGGGAAGACATTGGCTACTGCCACACGTCAGGGCTATTTATATTTCACTGACAATGTGTGACCATTGCCTAAATCATCGAGCATCACCTATGCAATGCAGGAACATGCTCCGCATACATGGGCAGAGTGGCACTGTATTTATGGCCATATCGGAAAAGATGCGCTGAAGCGCCTTCATCGAGAATCACTTATTGATGGCTTCACTGTCATTCTGAACTCCGACGATTTCATGTGCAAAGCGTGCATCCAGGTGAAGTTCTCCCACAAGCCATACCCGAAGAGCGCTGACCATAGAAGTGAGATCTCCAGTGAATTAACACATACTGATGTGTGGGGACCTGCTCCGACGACCGCTCTACAAGGTTGGCGATACTACATTACTTTTACTGATGATGCCACACATCGCAGTGTCATCCTTTTTATGAAAACAAAGGATGAGACCTCTCAGAAGGTCAAAGAATATATGACGTACCTCGATTGCCGATTCGGTCATCAGCCGAGGATGATCCAAATTGACAATGGACGTGAGTATCTCAATTCAGATCTTACTGATTGGTGTCATTCTCAGAGAATTGAGACTGGTGCTACTGCACCATATTCTCCTCCCCAGAATGGCGTTGCGGAGCGTCTCAACTGCACGTTGCTTTCTTTAGCACGTGCAATGTTGTTTGCCCATGCTCTACCTCGTTTCCTATGGGCTGAAGCAGTGCGCCATGCGGTTTATATTAAAAACTGTGCACCTACACGTGCGCTCAATGGCACCACTCCAGACGGTAAATGGAATGATAAAAAACTGAATATCACTCACCTTCGAGAGTTCGGTTGCATTATATGGGTTCTTGATGAAGAACTCAACTTATATAAGCTTGTGCCGTGAGCCAGCAAACATATCTTTGTTGGTTACATGGACGGTCCCAAAGCAATTAGATATTATGACGCTAAAATGCGTCAAATTAAAATAACGCATAATTATCATTTCTTACCTACACTAGAACCTGCTTTAACTGATTCCCCATTTGGAGAGTCGCATCAGCCTGCGAATACGCAGTGTATGGAGGAGTCCAAGAGTAATAGCGATGCGTAGATATTTGCATTAGGTGATGATCCGTCCTGAGACCTTGATCTGGCTCGAGAAAGTGATCAAAATTCTCGGAAGAGAAAAAGGTGAGAATATGACGCACCTGTTGAGCCCAGAAGGACGAGCAGAAGAGCCGTTCAGCAAGATTATCAATTGCTGAACGATTCGAGCGCCGATGATCCGTCCTCAGAAGATGACGACACACCGGAACTGGAAGAAGCTCAGAGCGTTGAAGCTCAGAGCACCGGTGATCTTGATCTGAGCATGAACGATGAACGTCTCGAAACGATTCATGCAGTCCTAAGCTTGGCAGCAGTCCTCGATTGAGAAATCCAATAAATGGACGTCAAAGGAGCGTACCTGAATGGATCCCTGAAAGAGAAAATATATATGCATCAACCTGAAGGGTATAGCAATGGAACAATCGAGTATGTCGCCTTAGAAAAACTTTGTATGGACTCAAACAAGCAGGTCACAAGTGGAATATTGAATTAAATCAACGTTTATTAAACGTGGGTTTCAAACGTTTACTTGCAGATCCATGCGCATACATCCGAATCTGAGGGAATGAAATAGAAATTGTCACCGTTTGGGTAGAGGATCTATTATTATTCACCAACGATCCGAACGTTATGGGACTCCTTAAAAAGGAACTTCAAAATATGTTTGAAGTCACCAACTTAGGAGAACCTCATAAGATCATTGGTATTGAAATTACGAGAGATCGCGCTAAACGCACGATTAAAATCTCTCAATCTCAATACATACAGGCTTTATTATTCAAACACGGATTAGCAAATGCTAATTCCGTTGGAATGCCTCTTGATCTGAACATAACGCTCGAGAAGGAAGAAGATAATGATGATAGCGTGCCTGATCGAAGCAACGCATATGCGTCATTAATTGGTTCCTTAATGTATGCCATGTAGCGACCTGTCCCGATATCGCATTTGCCGTGCAACACCTCAGCTCATTCACAGCAAACCCAGCGTTAGCGCATTGGACAGCTGCTAAACACGTGCTCCGATATCTCGCAAGAATGCACAATGCTAGAATAACTTATGGCCTTGAAAATCAGGCCGACACACGTGCTCAATCTGAGCATTGCATGTATTTCCATGGATTCTCCGATGCTGATTACTCAAATGATGTACGCGATCGAAAATCCATCTCCAGCTTCATGTTCTGCCTCGGATCAGGCGCGATAACGTGGAGTGCCAAGAAGCAAACCACAGTCACATTGTCTACAACTGAGGCAGAATACATCACATCTGCGGCAGCAGCCCGCGAAGCCATGCGGCTGCGAAGTTTATTTAAACAAATAGGCTTCAATCAGTCCCAACCTACCCTGTTGTATGAGGATAATAATTCTGCAATTGCAATTGCAAAAGATCCTCAGTTTCATGCACGTTCCAAACATTTTGATGTAAAATATCATTATGCGCACAAACAGCAACAAAGGGGATGTATTAATATTGTTTATTGTCCTACTGAGGATATGATTGCGGACATTTTTATGAAAGCACTCCCCAAACCGCGGCATCAAAAGCTATCTCGTTTGCTTGAGATGTCCATCGGCTTGCGGGGGGGTGTTGAGAAAGCCGAACCTCACGACCGAGGCTCGGGGACAAGCCGAGGTACCGAGGCCCTCACAAATGAGAGTCCGGACCAATGTGGCTGAGGGATTAGATAATATTTCCAAATGTGTACATGTATATATAAAGGAATGCCATATCGGGAAGATCTGCATCATCCCGCATCCTCCTTCATCCCGGACGCTCACCCATGTTCCGTGTTCCTAATCTGAGGCTTAATACTCTCGCATCGCCTCCCCATCAATGGGACTCATGGTACGTCTCCGTGACTTTGCGTGATTCGCTGATGCCTGGAAAGATACCGCTTCCGTCGTGCAAAACGGTGAGCTGAACGGCCACTTGGCTGTGTCGACCTTAGCTTCACGTATATCGAGGGCGAGAGTCTGCTTATGGCGCTCAAGGTGTGTCTTTACGGTCGTTCATTGCGGGGTCCATGCCAACTTTGGGTTCGTGCTGCAGGGTATCGCATTGTCATCAGGAAGCGCGTGCACGTCGGTGTCGCTCAGGCCATCCCAAGTGCTTTGCGCACCCAGCGCCGCAGAAGACATGCCGCATTCGTCATTACACTTCGATATGAAAGGATCTCTCACCAATCAAGGCCCACCAAATGCCTAGCTGCGGACGTTCTCCATCGATATCCTATTCGGATATATGTTTGCAGATGCTGCATAGCACGAATGGCAAGACGCTGGTACCGGCAAGACCATTTGGCCAAACGGCCTATGGTACGATGCTATGGTTTGAGCGCTGGATCAAGTTGAATATCGAGTGCTCAATGCTGTGGTGGCTGACTTAGGCTGAGTGCAAAAGCGTATCTGTAGCTGAGGGTATGCATGCCCAGGTCGATATTGAATTTGACCGGCTCAAGCTCAAGCTTCGATTGGTCTCACCAGTTACCGGGCTGGTCTCATGGTGCAGCCGAGGACGCCTCTGGAAAGGCTCTGTTAACTACACATCTGCCAATAGGAATTCGATAGACCTATATATAGTCCAAGCATAGTATCAATAGAATCACAGAGTGGAGTTATCGAAAGGTCTGCTACACAGGACGATTTGAAGACGACGAAAGACGATGCACATCTCTGACTACGTAGGGGCGGACGAAGTATTAGATGAATAGGAAACAGGTATGGTATGAGTGGTGCTTGACAGCGAGGTTGTACCGATCTTCCAAAATCCAATAAATACGGAACCAGGACGCTTGCGCCTAATATATAGGGAAGTTTCGATATAGAGAAAGAATTGCGGACCTAAAGTACACGAAGTCAGCGTGAACATCGCGCATGAGGCAACAAACTCACCAGGTTCCAAAACATGTTACACGAACAACTTCAGCCCCTCGCCTTAGTAGTTGTCCTCCCAATCCTCTGCGGCCTCTCCCTCCGCCTGACCCTGCTCCACATCGTCCTCGCGGCCTTGACCAGATGGTGTAGCCTCCATGGGTGCCTCAACTTGCTGTGCTTTGCAATGACGGTATTGATTCGAAGGGCCGGTGACCATTGCCTCATCTGCGACAGCATTTGCCTGGTTGGTGGTGGTTACGGAAGGCTCCGTCTCTGGGTCAATTGCAGGAATGCTGTTTGAGAGACCAGAAGGGATCACAAGGCTGGGTATGTCGATGTCCAATTCAGTCTGCACCCCATGGCCTGAGCGGACAAATGAGGGAGTATCGGATTGCTCCCTCTGCGCGGCTCGGGCCGTTTCTTGGATATTCAGCAAAATACGAGATACAAGAATTGTGGTGAGCCTATAACATGCATGAGTATTTGTTGCAGTCAGCATAGATCTTGAAACTTAACGGTGTCTCCAAATTGTTGACAACATATAGGGCACTCTACATAGGAGGTCAGGGTTTTTAAGAAGACATTCAGCAGCATCAGTGCGGGAGTTGATGAAGATTTGGATGACTGACCTGGCCAACAATCTCCAGGATGCTAGCGATCATGTTCAGCAGTAATAATGTTCTATGGCGAACGTCTCAGTTTTCCGTGCAATTGAAAGGAGCTGGCCAAGTACATGAACTGAATTGTACCTACGGACAGCAAAACAAATTAACCCAATCACGGTCCAACAACATAAGCTTTACTCGCCATCTCTCAGCAACAGTGTCACAAGTGATGGCCTCTGCGAAAACACTCCAGTGGAGTTCCGGCTAAGTTGTTTGTATAGCATCGTCCAGATGACACCGAGCACTACAACATTGTTGACCACAGAAATAACAAGGAGGGCGATTGTTTCTATGAAGTGACGTTCCGTGTGGCTCATTTGGAGAAGGAAGAGTCCGTCTAATCAGCTTACGCCTGGTATTTGACAGTTGAGAAGGAAATATAAACTGTCGACAGAACTTGTTGCTTACTTTGTGTAGGTGCTCGCAAACGAATTAGGTGGGACCGTATAGCATATTGCCGTTGATCCTAGAACAATGACCGCGGCTGATCGATTCGCGAAGGCTTCTCACGACAAGAGAGTTAGTGATGGAACGATTTCTTCAGTCCAATTATCGTAGAGAGCGTATCAACGACAATATCGAGCCCCAATAACGCAACGGCTAGCAAAGCAACAATCATAGTAGGATGCCAGTTATGTTCGGTCACTGCATATACTCGTAGTAACGTGACCACTGCGATCGGATATCAGTATCTAGGTGAAACGTGGTGCACGTAAATATACCTTGGGACACAGCTCCGATTGCGAGCTGAAGACTGTATGTTGCATTCATCACTACTTCACAGCTAAATGATACGAAGTGTAACAGATTTTGCAACTCCGTGAGCTAGAGCCCTCGGAACGAACCTCTGCCGTGACATTCTGTCAGACCGCCGTCATCGGATAAACCTACCATCGCGATACTTACAGTTTGTGGGTAGATATTTGTTATCCCCGCGATCGATACAGCGCCATAGACGAGAGCCAGTAGTCGATTGATGAAGAAGAGGACTGCCGGGAATGACCTTTTGCCCCAAAAGAATTTAACCTCTTGGTTGAACGTAGTAATATGTTCGTGGAATATGAGGGCTAGATCAGGTCATCGTTCCAATGCATTGCAGCGTTCAGTTACGATCACACTCACCTGCTCCGGATGCAGAGGCACAATTCGATATGAAGCTATGCATGACGAGCCCTCGGAATTAGCAAATTGGTTAACAGGGATAAATGCAAAGCTCACTTTATCTTGAGCAGCTCGATCAGCTCCGAGGTCAAGCTCGCCATGGTACGAATAGAGGATAGCAGTGGATGACAAAGATGTGAGTAGCAGCTCGCTCTGGGTAGCTATTTAACATGCTTGGAATATGATCATCAGATGCAAAGAAAAAGGAATTTACAGGTGCGAAAGTACAAAGATTCTTCTCTTGTTGGAGTTGACCAGTCGATTGAGGATTCTGCGCAGTTCTCACAGTACGATGGGCTCAACTTAGCTGACATTCTTTGTTGGAAGTCATACGGACTTTATGTCCAGTGGGACACGGACTTAGACGTTCTGCGCGCATTCGCTTATGTAATCATATAGCCACAAGCGTGCTCGATTTTTTCCTGCTACCTCAGCACTCGCATCATACATCGAGGCTGAGGTAAGTACCTACTGGATTCCTTACATGCTTTTACTTATACACTGTAGTCACTCGTTCCTATGTGTCTACAGGTATTTATATAGCACTCGCATCATACATCGAGGCTGAGTCACTCATTCCTATGTGTCTACAGCCCTCGTAAATTTTCACCTCGAACAATAGGTTATGAGCCCCGGAGCTACACACTAACCTGTCCACTCATTGAGGCTTCCACTGTGCTCACACTCCTTTAATTCTTCTCTCTTCAACCGGCACCCACACCAGCACCTCCTGCACCACAGTCTACACCTTCTCACTCCACGCCCTCTCACGCCATGTCCAAATCCGTCAAACTCTCTCTCGGCTCAAACCGCCTCTACGACATTCCATTTCTCGAGGATGATGGAGCAAACTACCAGCAATGGAAGTTCCATCTCGAGACGGTGCTATGCATCAGAAAGCTCTGGAACATCACCCAGGGTAAGGAAGCTCGACCTGCAGATTCCGAACCTGACAAGCAGGCCGAATGGGATGACAAGGATCAAGACGCAAAGGCGCAGATCACGCTCACGCTCAAAGACACGCCTCTGAGCGGCATCATGTACGAGAAGACGGCGAAGTCTGTATGGGACAAACTCGCCGCGCGGTATGAGGGGAAGGGGAAAACAGACGATAGCGCACCTCATTGGTGAGCTATTTCGTGGTACGCTCTCTGATGAGACCGGTATGGAGGCACAGCTCGATGGCATGGTCCAAAAGGCCAACACTCTGGCCACACTCAGACAGCTGCTCGAAGACTCGCTGATCGCGGTCGCCATGGTCATATCACTCCCCCCGTCCTATTCAGTACTTCGCACCATCCTCATGTCAACGAGCGACAAGCTCACCACAGAGACAGTCACAAACCAGGTCCTTACTGAAGAGCGCGAACGCCTCAAGGAGGGATCGCAGCACGCGCTTGCCGCCAAGCTGTCAGGTATGCCATCAACATCGAAGTCGAATGGGAAGCAGCCGAAATCCGGCAAGAAGTGTGGCTATTGCCACAAGCTGAACCACACAGAGGAGGAGTGCCGAAAGAAGAAGAGAGACGAGGAGAAGCAGGAGGAGGAAGAGGGTAGCGACGACAGTGAAGACCTTGCGGCGAAGGTCGCGTCCACCCGGGGTACCACAGTGTCCCCCGTCCTCCGACTGTTCATCGCCCACGCACTCACGCAGCGCAGCCTATCCGCCGACCATTGGATTCTCGACTCGGGCGCAACGGCATCTATGAGCTCACGCCGTGACTGGTTCATTCAATTCACGAACCTTACCTCACCGAAGCGTGTCTGGCTCGGAGACAGACGGTACGTTCACGCAGAAGGTATCGGGCAGATCTACATCGATTTAGCCACCGATGACGGACGTACAACCCCGACGCTGCTACAGGACGTATACTACGTACCACAGCTCCAGGGCAACCTCCTCTCCACCTCGCGACTCACCGAACAAGGTCAGACCCTCACGTTCTGTGGCGACGCCTGCAAAATCACCTGCAACGGTGAGACAACGGGCCTAGCGCACAAGACGGACGGTCTCTACGTCCTCGAGTCGATCCCACGCGCTCCCATGCGAGCGTTCGTAGCGCACGTGGACTCCTCCACGGATCCCGATGAGTTTTCACTCGAAGCGCTGGCGGCGAAGACGACGACGCACAAGGCGAACATCGTAAAGTGGCACCACAAGACCTGCCACATGGGTACCGAACTCACCCTACAAACGGTCTATCAAGGCGCGGTCAGTAACACGAACACCGTGAGCAACGCGACTCGCGACGTGAAGACCGGTAAGCCCATCCAGACAGGCATCAAGCCCTCGGCCACACACATCCGCACGCACGGGTGTACGGCCCATGACGCCAGACTCGACCTCAAGTCGGTCAAGCGCGTCACCCTCGGGCATGCTCAAAACGCGAAGGCACACGCTGCCTCTCACCGAACGAGTGGGCGCACACACGACGCGCACAACGCCGCCTCCGACGAGGGCGTCCGTACACGGCAGAGACGCACGGTGAACGACCCTGAACTTCAACGCGAAGTGCAGGGCAAATCGCCAAGCTCACCTGCCGGCACTCCTCACACCCCTCGCGAATGACGAGCGGCTCGTATCGCGATCGTAGCCGCCGAACACGACCCAACGCCGCCA